AGTGTTTATTTCAGAAGAGTGGCAACATATGTAATAAATTACAGTTTTCCAGATGGTTACCCAAGACTTCTGGTACAAGAATTAATTTTAGATCACTTAATCCTATTTTTATAAAAATGCAGTATGAAATATTAACAATGTTCCCGGTGCATGACATATCAATCATAATATTCCCTGAAATATGAATCTTGAGATCTGTTATTATGTGTCTGTATACTGTTAAATATATTAAAATAAACATTGTAAACACAGTAGTACAGTATTCTTCCACTGTCAAAAGAGTGTCATAAGTCCTGAGTTCAATACAGTTGAAGGCAACAAAATAAAGACCTCTTTCAGAAGTAAACGCCAATATCTTGGGCCAGGAAGGTTCAAGAAATTAAAAGGGAAATAATCTTCGATAAACATAATCTTAATCCTTAGTGTTTTGTGTCACCATCAGCAATTGAAGATGTCATTAGTAGACATTATATACATTTCAATGGCTTTGCAAAAATTTCCAAACATAACATCTCCCTCTTTTCACTTGGTTTTCCATTTGGTGGCAGTGTCCAAATCTGTGGGAAACATTGAGGGAGATACTTCTTTATCACCAAATGACTCCTGTGATTTATTTTCCCTTTGTTTCATAAAGTGCTTCAGCCTGACACATGATGGCAGAAGAGGGTGAAAACTGGCAAGATTAAACAGAGTCAGTTCTGAGCTCGAGCACTGCATCCTTTCTGTGACTGAATGCTCATGACCTGTCCCTTTTCTTGATGGCCTCATACTTGACATTTAGCATTTGAAATTGTCAGGACAAACCATGTACAGCTTTTCCAGGAACTAGTGCTGCACTAATTAAGAGTTTGTGTTTTACTTTCTGAACAGGCATCGAAAAATCTTTTTTATAATTATCTGGCCTTTTTCATGACTTAATTTTCTTAAAGAAGGTTATTGTCACAAGACAAGTTTCTTAGCAAGGCAGATCGTTCAGACTTCTGGTTCTTATGGGCCCACCGTAACCATATTTAACAATTCAACAACTGACATAACAACTTTTCCAGGCTACAAGTGCACTGAGATAAGCTACAGATAAGGACACTGAAGTCAACTGAATCAGGTTCATTATTATCTAAAATTCTTTTTAACTTGGGGTGGTTTTTTCCCTTATTTTGCACAAGTATGTCAGTTGTGAAAGACATCAATACATTGAAGGGAGAGTTGCAGAAAAAAACAACAAAACCAAACCAAATATGAGTTTTTCAAAACTTCAGCTGGTAGTTCCCCTTGAACGATCATAAGCTGTACTGATTTCCTTGTGAAAATATTATATATTGTGGGTGTTTTATTACATGACCGGGTACTGGGTGGTAGATCATATTTATATCACAGCAGTGGTGTCCGCACTGCTATTCTCTGTCTTCTTTTTCTGTTTAATGCCAAGATTTTAAGAGACAAATCAGTGCTCCCAATTTGTTTTGATTAGCACAATGAAGACAATCACAAGATGATCACAATCCATCAGTAAGAGAAAAGGGTTTCATACTGTTGGACAGGAGTGTTCATTTGGAAAATTGCTGGGGATGGCAGGAGAACAACTTAAGTCCAAAGTGAGCTTGGTGAGAGAACTGAAGTCCAACCTGAGCTTGGTGACAGTGGAATTAAAGTCAGAGCTGTAATCTGCAATATCCTGGAAGAGGAGAGGAATGGAAGGGGAGAAGTTTGTGATGAAAACATTTAATCTGCTCAGAGTAGCCATCTTGACCTTCATTCTGGTATTAATGAGCTGGTCTACTGGAGTTCTCAGCATTGCAGGAGCAGTCAGAACAGTCTGTTCTTCTACTGATGTGACAGGTATTTATTAATTACCTGTCAATACACTGGCAGAGAGAAGTAATTAAGATTTTCTGTTGAAAGAAAAGAATGGGTTTCAAAAAATATTTGCAGTTCTGTCATGTCCTCAGAATTTCTCTGAGCTTGTAACTCTTGCAGTGGCTCACAGAATTTCAGCTGAATGAGCACAGAGTGAGCTGCAGCTGAGGTGTGGGGTGGGCACCTGCAGTCAGTGGGTTAGTCCTCACAGGGAGGCAGCAGCTAAATTGCACAGATCACTAAGCATGATCTCGACAGAGTTCCAGCCCTGTCACTGTGCATCTGATCCTCTCTGGGCCTTTATTTTTGTTGATAATTAGCCGGTAATCCCATCACTGACATCACAGGGGCCCTTCTCCTGCACTGCTGCTCCAGAGCAAGTAGGAGCTCAGATGCTCATGGATCAAGATTTGCTGGGGTAGTGTGGGAACAGACTTGTTCAGCTGAAGCAGTTCATACCCTGGAGACACACTGTCAGGGTGCTTTGCCTATTGTGTGCCTGGTCCAGCAAAATGTGAACAACTCAGCCACCTTCTGGACTTTTATCATATGTGGAACTGGAGCTGCTTGCAGCTTTTAAGCTCTAACAGCACAGCTTTAGCTTTTCACTACACATGGTCTGTGTGGACACCTGATGGTTGACAGAGATTTGATCTGTAAGGATTTGTCCCTTGCTTTTCATTCCATGCAAGTGCTGCACACTTTGCTTGAAGAAGAAGGGAGGTCACAGTCCTAGTGACCATCAGAATGGCACAGAGGCCACACTGAGACATTTGTAACCAGATATCTCTATCAAGTATTTATACACTGGTTGTTTTCCTGACACAAAAGTGTGTGTTAAATTTTCTGGTCCAGGCAGTACTATTCCCATAAGCAAAAGAAATGTTCATTTTGCCCCTCTGGTTTAGACACATCTGTGCCCTGGAGCAGTGTCTATGTTTGTACCAGGCTTCGATGCTCGTTTTATAATTTTCATTTTTTTCCTCCTCCAGCAGAGTTCATTGGTGTTTCTCCTGAATGACATTGACTTTTATTCCATCTGAAAATACCTATTTAGCATTTTTTGGTTATTAGTATTGCAAGTACTGACATTAGGAACCGAAGTGATACATATATTGAAATAAATTTGCACTGGAGTTCTACAAGCCTTTCTGCTTCTCCATCAGTGTGATTCAAGGGACATGGCCTACATCTGTACTCAATCAAACAGGGCTGCGTTGGCCAATATAATCTAATTGTTTGACATTTTTATAGCAATTCATTGAGACTAAAGAGAGATGACTACATTAATATCATGATGCAGCAAGATAATAGTTGAGCTAAAACCGGTGTGCCAAATTGCTGAAAGGCTCTTAAATTCTCTTACAGATTTTTAAATATTTGTGACAGAGAAAAGGAAAGAGACTTCAATATAAATGTAATAAAGAGAAAGAATAGTACAATCTATAACACAAAGTATTATAATAAAGAACATTATCATAAATTTTCTAGGAATCTTCTCTTCACCAATCATTTAAAATTATATTTCTCAATAATTGAGATGAGAATTATTGTTAATGTTCATGACTCTGTTTTCTTGGATAATCATTTTCACTGAGGTCATAATTAAACAGAAGAGGTTTTAGACAATGAATATTCATATTATTCCTCTAGTTATACTGTGAGCAAACTTGTCTGCCCTGGGTATAACTGGAGGAACACTCAGACTGGAATAGTGGTAGAGGAATGTTATGGAGACTCTGAACACACTTGTCTAAGACCTACTTAGGCTTAGACAAGTCACCTCATCTCACTATCAAAACCTTCTGTCCTTTGCAAGTGCATTTGTTGGGACAAAACATCTCCTCTGAGTGGGGTCTCAGGTCTACAGGTAAGAGCAAGCTGAGGGAGAGCATCAGAAGTGTTTTATTTTGGAGCTGTTGCTCTGAGCCTGGAGAAGAAATGAATGGAAGAAAGCAGGAAACAAAAGCAAGAATTAGTATTTCATCTAAAGTCAGAAACAGAGAGAAATGTGTTTCTCAAACATGTTTTGATAGCTAGATGTATTTTTGCTTTCAGAGGCCTTTGCAATAAAGATTCAGTGTGGGCAAGGGCAAGGTCTTGTTACTTAAAAGTGAAAGAACATGTGGTTAAGCGCATTTTTTACCAAAAAACAAGGCAAAAATATTTGCAAGAGGAGCAGCATGTTTATAATGAGATGGAAATTGTTAATCTCCATCAGAGCTCTGCTGGAATAATCTGGTTTATGATGAATTTGTGGTAGAGCTGGTCTTTAATAAAGATCTCTGCCCCTCTCCACGTCCCTACACTGTAAGCAGGTAGGTATCTCCTCTAGCAGTGCTCTGCAGTACATGGATTTTTGGAGAATCCAAATCTGCATATTAAGACATTTGTATCTTCAATAAGCAGTAAGGACTCCCTAGAGAAGCTGTGCTCGCTGTCTGTTGGCAGGGCAAGAACATGAACATTTTTTAAAGGGCACCAACACATCATTCAGTGTCTAAGCTCTCACCTTCTTTCCCGCTAGTGGGTGCTGAGGTGAGCTGACCTTATGACATTTTAAAAAGTATTCTTTCTCTACATTTGGGGCTATGGAAAATAGTCTGGACAGTCTACTTTTAAACCTCAGCATTTTATCTCTTACTGAAATAATTGTTTTTGAAAGCTATTTTTATTTTTTTCCCATGTCAAAATCCACTTGGTTTTTTTTGTTTTGGTTTGGTTTTTTTTCTTGAGAATATACAGCTTTGAGAACAGATTTGTTTGTTTTTCCACAAGAAAGCACTGGCACAAGTGTAAATGCAGAGCACCTCTGGTGTACCATTGCAGAAGACTTTGGAGCCTGGAAATGGTGATTCCATGCTGAAACATCTGAGGTTTCCAGCATCACAAGGGTCCCAAGATTGCTATTACCTTTTCCATAATATCTGGTTTTCACTGAGTGACTCATTTAGCCAGGCTTGAGCATTAGTGCCTTTTTCACCATTATCCCAAAGGAACTAGCATGACCTCACAACATAATGGTAGCTCTTATGACAACCATAATATATACATATATATAAAGCTATTTCCACTACAGACAAGTAAATTGATGGAGGAATGCTGACATTTTTAAGCAAAACCACAAAGCAATTATCCCCCAGTGTCATGGGAGGTTTATAGGAAGGGCAGGTATTTTGTCCAGGTTGTGACATTAAAATACAACAAATGTTCCCAAAGCAGAATAGTGCAGTGTTACATTGCTAGTTTTGCAAACCAGAGGCAGTGCTCTTTTTTAAAGGAATGTGATTTTTAGGTATATTCTTGGTGGCAAAACAAAAATTCAAGGACACAATGTGCTGTTTATTAGTTCACAATTAAGTGTGAGCAAATTGACTTTGGCAGTATTCACACCTTTTAGTATGAAATCTTAAGGTCTTAAAACCATCCATTGCCTAAATTACTTTTTGTATATGGTAAAATGTTCATGCTCTTACCACATAATGCAAGAGGTGTCTCTTCAGTCACTGTGCACAACTCCTAAGAAAAAAAAAGCCCACTCTCCCACCCTTTTTTTTTGCTTGCAGATCTGAAGATTTTTTACTGTGTTACATTGAAAGACTTTACCAATCAACTCCTGGGGACCCTGTAGCACTTCGTGCCCAGGCTGCTACTGCTTGGTTGGCCCACTATGACAATGTGTTTACACATTTTAAAATGTACTCTCTGACCTACAGGCAGGAAAGGAAGGTATTCCCCTCTTCCTGAAAAGCATTACTGAAGACATTTTAACATGAAAACATCCCATGATTCTATTATTCCTTATTTGTATCAAAGATGAGAACCTCTCACAGAGACAGGAACTCATTAGAGATGCAGAATGTTAATGCTGGAGAATTGATCAACATTTACTAAAACCCATTTTTTGTATGTGCAGAAGGTAAATACCTTCTTCAAGAAAATGCCTTTGCCCACAGTTATGGGAGTTCTCATATTAATAAGCCAAACAAAATCTGGCCCTTAACAGAAAACACTTGTGAGGACCTGAAAAATATCAGTGTTATGGACACTGACAAATATTAATGGAACCTTATGTTTTATGAGAATGATTTGTTAATTGTTTAATGCAGCTGTCACTTGATGGAAAGAAAACATTTGTGATGCCTCTGTGGTCCTATTAAGACTAATTAATTCCTTCTCCAAATGAAATCAAGACTAATTAGACTCTAATATTAATTTCCTATTTGTCCTGAGCTGCTAATTTTCATATCACCCTGTTGCAGCCTATATTTGTATGTCTGTGCTTGGGGATGTCAGTGTTTGTCTGACAGGGTGGCAAGATGATATAAGACAACCATAAACATAATTATTAAAGTTGCCAGAGGGGCTGGTGCAAAAGGACAATGATTCCCATCTCAACAGAGCAGTCAGGCCTTGACCTCCATGTGGAACTAGACATGAGCTGGTTCTCCAGAAATCTTCAAGACAGAGCTTCACACTGGGAAGAAAGGTTTAGATGATGAACCCTTGTGTGCCACTGAGGTACTGCTCAAGTGATTTTCAGTATATTTAATTGAATTATGAACTTCTCTGTTGAAATAAGCTACTGATAGGTTCGTGCTGGCCCCACTGCTCCTGACAGACTGAAGGAATGCTGCTTATCTCTATTTCTCTCATAGGCAGTCTCTCTTCCTTCTCTGCTTCCTTCCCTGGACAATGCAAAGCTGGTTCTCTCTGGGAAGCTGCTGAGCTCCCTGCACCCTCCCCAGCCATCACCTTATGTCTAACACTCTTCAAAGTCAGTGGCACCATGTTCTCCTTCTATGGCTCAGATTTTACTCTCTTCTCACAGACTTTCATGTGTTTCACCCTGAGAAATTGCTTCCCAGCAAACGTCTATTTACACCTGTAAACCTGGTTCTCCAGATTATGTTTTCCACTTGTTTTTGTGGTACTGCTTATAGCCCTCATCCTAACATCCTGCACTGCACCTCACACTATTAAACATTGATTTTCTTATGATAATACTCCTTGGCCAGTCACTCAGGACATGAACCTTCCTCCTTATCTCACCATCCTCTAAAGTTCAATCCACTTTTTCCTGCATAACCTGAGCAACTGCCTCTACTCCTGTGGATTCCTTCTACTGCCCTCACTAACAGCATGCTAATCCAGCTTTCTACTTCTAAGGTATCTCCAGCCTTCCCAGTCCTGTGTTTCAGTCAGTCTCTCTTTCTGAATGTTTCACAATGATTTTCAGAGCTGTGTGTCCAGAGCTGTAAGTCTGACCATTTCTTCTGTGATTGGCACTGCTCTTTCTTCCTCTCACAGTCCTGTTTTGTCAAGGGCAAAACTGTCTCCTCTGACATGGGGAACCATCTTCATTTCACTTTGGCACAAATATTTTGTCCATGTCCAAAATTAATATTATTCCTTCTAATCTCATTTTTTTTCTCTGGCCACTACTACCATGTTGCCTTATCTCATGAAACCACACCCTCTGTTTTATTTTAGCCACATATCTTAGCCACAATACCTGTTGTAGTACATGGAGAAGTTCACAAGGAAGAGTCTCCATATTTTTGTTCTAACTAATCCTCATTTGTTGTTATTCTTGTCACTGAGTGCAAGTGTTACCATCTTTGACACATATTTAATTTGTTTTTTCATAGTTATCTATCATCTTCTTCAGTGCTATTTTGGATCTGTACAATGCTTCTCTAAATCTTTGACTGTGAAGTCTGTAAACACTTTTTGTCTTCTGTATGTCTAAATACTGCTGTTACACCTTTAATTAATGGTCTGCATAACAGCAGAACAGTTGAATGCAAACAGTGAGAAAGTGGTTAAAATTCCCTTTAATTAAAAAAACTAACACCTCTACAAAGAAATCTCTGTGAGAAAAGTAGTGCCAGTGCCTTATTGACATCCAGAGAACAGGAACAATTTAAAGCCTCTAATACTGCACAGGAAAATAATTTTAGGTTTTCTTCCATGTTTTCCTTTTATCTTCCAATTTTAATAACCAGACAGTACAGAAAATGCTGCAGTTTCTAAATAAGTTTTAAACAAATCTTTTTCTAAAAGTCAGTCCCTGAATGTTATCTTGAAACTGTTTCCCATGAAAATAAAGGCATATGACAATTAGTTTTGTCAAGGAAACAAAATCCTGTTAGAACTTTCATCTCTGCAGGAGCCCAGGTGTCTGTGAGGGGAGTGCTGGATGGGCACGGGAGACCCCTGGACCTGAGAGAAAAATCTTGCCTTGTCTTTCTAGCTCTTGCCTATGACCAGGCAAAAGGAAGCAGGGCTTAGTGTCACGACTTTCCGGTTTCTTCTATATGCTCTCTCCCCCTGAGAATTCCTGGTTTGTTCCTTTTGTGCTGTAGTTCTCCCTTTCCCTTATAAAAAAGCCAAAGCTATTTGTCTGCCCTGTGAGGGAATGTGAGCAGTGCCCTGAGGGTCCTCTATCAATCCCCTGCCCTATAGTGTTTGAGAGCAGTAATTCATGTCTGGTGTCAGTGTCCCCCTGCCCTGCTCGGCAGTGATGTGACCCCCGGCTCACCCTGCACTGGCTGCTGCTGCATTTAATGGGTGGGGACCCACTTGTGTTAGTTGGAGACACTGTCTTTGACTGTCTTTACAAACTGGTGTCCTCTATTAATTTACAGATGCAAAGCAGGTTTTCCTTGGTGAAATGTTCTAAAAGTACCACTTCATCCTGAGTGACCCTCACTGAGGATGACACAGCCAGTAATCAGATGGGAATCTCATGGTAACTCGCTGTTTCCTACAGTTTTACGTGCATTTTTACATCGTGTTTTTCGTTGCCATTACTTAAGTTTTGTTGCCTTATTTGGTACTACAGAGCTGTACTTTACATATCTTAACCTTCTCAGGAGATAAAGTAATTCTGGTGCTTTTAATTAAACACTAGCACTTCTGCCAATTCTTCATGATTTAATATATCCAATGCCATTAACATGTGATTAACCTAGGTCAACATATCCTTGAAAGAGAAAATCTGAGTCTTAAATGCAAGAATTTTACTTTCAAATCATACCTGACTGTTTTAACAGACTAACGAGCACAAAAAGGTGCATGCAATAGTAACTGAATACCTTGCTTTTCCTGTCTCACAATATTTCCAAAACATTTAAAAAAGGCAAATAGATCTGTTCACTTCTCTGCTCTAGATGCCACAGGATTAATGGTAAAGAATGTGGCTGTCAGAATAAGGATCAACGTTTGGCTTTAAGATTGAGCCCTGCCAAAATGACACTGTAAGACAGTCACCTAATGAAATTTTGTGAGATGAATAGGAAGACAGTAGAGTCTTTTGCAGTGAGTTCTCACATGTGCAGGCCATGATTTTATTTCTAGAATAACTCACCTCTTTTGGATATTACCATTCTGAAATCAGGGCATTCGAATCTGAACATTTTTCTTCTCAGAACATAGAAAAAGGATCAAATTCAAAATAAATTTGACTCCAGGATGAATTAAGAGGAAGATCACAATGTATAAAAATTGCTTATTAAAAATTATGTGTTTAAAATGTTATAAGTTAGTTGTCTGTGTCTTGCAACTAAATTTCTCTAAAAAAAAGGAATTGTCAAGTATCTTCACCTCCAGGGTGAAGGGTGCTGAGGGTGAAACAGGCAGAGCTGCCCTTTGGGAGAGGAGGCACGGTGAGGAGCTGGGTAAAGGGAACAAGAGCAGGGCCAAAGAAACTGCCCCCACAGAGAGTTAAGGGAAAGCACTACAGAAATACACTTCCTGCAGGGATCACATTTTACCTATAGAGGATCTTTTAACAGAAAGATCTTATTGAATAATTCTTATGTCTTTTGAAGAAACAAAAAACATCAGCAGTAACCATCCATGTTTGTCTTGGATGTCAGATATACTCTTGCCTGAATAATTCTAATTTTGTTGAAGTAAAACTGAAACATGGATGATTCATTCCATATCCCGTTTCTATTGTAAGGCCTGTACAGGACAGAGTTATTGTAGCTTTTCTATACCACTATGGAGTAACATTTGTTTCAACTGGTATTGTATTAATGTCTTCTCTAGAAATAAAGGTTTTCCATACTAAAGTATATAATATAGTCAGCCATTGCCTTTTCTTCTAAAATGCATTCAATAAAGGTAGATCTTATATGGGATTAAAAATCTGATATGCCAGTTCTTAGCAACATTTCATACAATGATCCCAAAGGCTGTTTAACACAGAAATCTGTCTTTATTACACTCGTAGCCTAGTTTGGCTTTGCATGTGCAAGTGACATTCCACTAAAGCCAAGTATATTGCTGCCCAGCACTGTGTGAATTAATCTGAGATAGAAAGATGGCAATTTCCATTCTTCTTCACTGTTTACAGAAAGTGTACTTATGTTGTGCTCCTTGTTTCTGAAAGCAGAGGAGTCAATAATTTGTGCCAGGATCAATAGCTCAAATAAAGGAATTTAAGGACGGGAGAGACAGAGACACAACTGCTCCTCACAGGAGAACAGCAGAGTGGTGCCACTGCCTGCTGTGGATTGGACAGGGGAACATAGAGGAGGAAGGGACTCACCTTCTGGCTGGGGCGTTTGCACCTGCAGAGCCAGGGAGCTCTTATATACACTGAGGAGCTGGAACCTCCTGTGCCCACAGGAGTATAATGTCCCCAGTGACAACATATTTTTATAGCAGATGACTGTAACACTGAAATACACTGTAGCACTGCATTAACGATCACATCTCCCACTCTACATGGGACAAATTCTGTTTTCTGAAGATGCCAACTGAGCAAAGGATTGGCAATTTCCATGTTCATGTCCAATTTTCCTTTCAGAAGCGGTGCTACGAACTGCCATGGTGGACATCTCACTGCCTCCCCTGTCCTGGGTTAGCACTGCTCTCTCTGAAGCTGGGTTCATGTTGGACTCTGCAATTCCTGTGGCATTGCACCTGAACATTTGAATCAGACACTTCCTGAACTAGAAAGGTGAAAAAACAGGAGATCAATCAAAACACATGAGAAATTTTAAAATAGTTCTATAAATCAATCTGTGTGTTAGCTAAAACTCTTAGAAATTCTCTCATGAATCAGTTGGGAATACAAAGAAATAACCCTATAAAATATATTTGCCCATGCCACCATGAATAACTCTAAACCTGAGAACTAATGATGTTCTCAAAAGACCCAAACTATTTCCCTCTTCTGCTTTTAACTAACCACATCTAATGGATAGAACTGGTCATTTCTTTAGACTCAAGAGTTGTTTTCATATACTAAATCCCAGCTATTCAAAGGTGGTTTGTTTGTTGTTTGCATCCACACGCAGGGGAAGAGCAGCGTTTGCCCCGCACTGGGAGACCAGGGTGCTGCCCACAGTATGAGAGACAAGCAATAGCTGTCTGACTGAATAAATAAATGTATTCACCACTTCTTATCCAGCAGTCACTTAACTATTTTTCTTCTTTTCGCTTACATGCTTATACTCTGCTTGATGGCACCACTCTCAGTAGCTTCATTCCCTGTAGAAATCTGTGCACATTTGTTATCATGCCTGTTACCACCCTGAGCATACAGCACCCCGGCCCAGCCCCATGGCAGTTCCTTTTCTCTGCATCTGATCCTCTGCCCTCATTCCAGAGAAGAAAGCTCCCTATCCATGGGCTCATGCAATGCTTCTACCCCGCTGCACGTCCAACCACAAATGCAGCATTTCCCCGACACAAATTCAAGCTTTGAAAACTTCCACCCCGCCTCAAAATCAACTTCTTGGTGTTGCATTCCTGAAGAATTATTGAAATACACTGGGACAGTCTTTAGAACAGAATTTTCATACAGAAAACCAACTGATGTTCACTAAGGGTTGATTTTCCTTTATAATATCTAAACCTAATAATTATTAACACTTATATTTTAAAAATGCACAGAGGCTTATGCTATCTTACAGCAGGCAGATTATTTTTTTTTGTTCTAAATGCTGGATGTTGTAATGCTTGTTAACTAACACATAGGCAGGTAGAAATAGTTCACTATAAAGCAAGATAAAATAGCAAAATATGAGTGTTAAAGATACTTTGAGAGCATACAGTACCTGTTTGTTCATAAAGACATAAATAATTGGATTATAAACAGTAGCTGTTTTGGAAAAGAAAGCTGGGATTGCTGCCAGACAAGGATCCAGCTCAATGGAGGGGTCAGCAGTGACGAGGATGGAAAAGGCAGCGTATGGTATCCAGCAGATCAGAAAGGCAACGATCATAACAACCACCATTCTGGTCACTCGTCTTTCAGGTCTCCTGGTAGTTCTGAGCCTGCCTTGCGTTTCTGACACCTTTAAAGAAGAGATAAAAGATTCTAAAAAACAAAGAACAAGGCCTCCAACAGTGACTTTAGTGAGCGGGGCAGTGACCTGCCATGCTGGGACGACAGACCTGTGCTTCCCAAATGTGGCAGCACAGGAGGAGGCTGTTACTGACCACAGGGTGTCCAAGTCCCTGCTCAGGGACAGGAATTACCCTATACTGGCAGTACTAAACTTACCTCTGCTTAAGTATTGTTTTATTTTTATTGTCAAAGTGAAAAAGAAGGAAATCATGATGAGTCATGAGCAGATATTGAGCTTGATTCCAGCACTTTCTAGTCCATGTAGCCTTTGCAGACAAGTAGGTGACTGATGTGGGTGTTACAGACAGCACTGCTCAGGCTGTGCAACCCCCTCACCCTGGGGGATGGCCACACCAGGGGAGTCTGTCTGGCTCAGTGGTGCTTTATGGCCTTCACAAGAAGAGAGCCTATGATCTAGTGACACCAGAATTCAAGGGGGTTTGGGGCATTTAGTAGGAATGCTCTCCCTCTTCCCCTCATTGATCATGCAAGCAGCCTGGACAGAGATGTTGATACAGGGATTATGTGCTGCCAAACAATGTCTTTCTGGGAAAATCCTTGTTTTGTTTCTGATGACTTAGTGAAACAAGGCACTGTTATGTAATGTTAGTTTACATGGGAAGTAATTAATGATAACTCTGTATGGCTCTGGAAGAAACTGATGCCAGGTCTTAAAATAATACATGCTAATAAAGTTAGATTTTTTGGCATAATATGGCCTTTTAACTACCTGCAGTAATGTTAGATCTCTATGGAGACATTTCCCCTAATAACCCTTGAACTGCACTCAGAGAATTCAACATATTTAGTACTTTTAGAGGTATAGAAGCACCTCCTGGGAGAGGGGTGTCCTCACCTCTGTAGAAAGTTGCAATTAATGCTGGTTTTTTATGTTGTTGTTATATAACATATATATTGTATATATACATATGTATTATGTTTAATAATAATAATAATAATAATGCATTGTTATAATAGGTACAAGTTCTTAGGCATCAGTGAAGGCTGTGTTAGGTATTGAGCAAAGCTAAGATATGCCCTGTCAATATATGACATTTCTATAGCATTTTTTCATATATGCTGTACCTACATAGAGAGCAGCCCAGACTCCCTTTCAGCAGAAGTACAATCACCCTGGGGAAGGAACACAATCTCCCTGATAGCACTTTCAACTGTTTTGTCTTTGTCTCATGTCAGCCTGGCCTTTTTCTCAGCTACGGCTTTTCCTTTCTGTCTAAAAACTGATAAGGAACCACGTACTGGTGCTTTATCTTCTAAACAAAGGAATACTGCCAAAATAATTTACCCTCTGTGCTAAACTATTAATTTGATCTTTTCCTGAAAATTAATCTCTTTCATCAACTTTGCAGTTAAAGTGAAAGCCACTATTGGCTCTGTAAAGTTGGTGTCACCGGGACTGAGAGACTGGCAGACTTCACTAAGACAGAACTGTGCCACTCGGGACCAAGTCTGCATTTGGCAACCATGGGACATGGCAGCCAAAATCTGGGAAGGGGGATGGTTGGGAACACCAAGACACCAGTTCTGGTGCCTGGGCCTCTCTCTGTTCACTGTAGTCAGATTTTTGAAAATGAGTTTAGCTGTGAAATACGGCCATATGGTAACTCATTATAGATTTACAGATTATGTTGCAGGTATTGGCTTTTCAGAGCCAAAGGCCAGGACTGGCATAAACCAGATGGTCACAACTACATCACCTGTGATGTGGCCCCCTGAGGGCACCCTTGTTCCCTGGCTGTGCCATCCACCAGGTCACTGAGCTGTGAGGGAAGCGTGAAACACATAACTTACCCAGAAGTGTGATTTTTTTAAATAATACTGCTATTCTGTCTGGATAACAGAGAGAGGAGTGAGAAAGACAGCGTAGTGAGATCACACCAGAGTGGCTCCAGGCCATGCTGGCACACACTACGTGGCACTGACCAGCCTTCCAGAAGACATCATGACCTGACTCAAATGGCAAAATAGGCCGTTCATGACGTCTGCTGTGACTGACGGTGCCTCCCTTGCTCTTCATCTCACCTGCTTTATTTTACATTTACAGACTTTTAAGAGGAAGGAAATGGTCATTTCTGTGCACCTCCTAAAGCATCTGAGTAATAGATTAGTCACTGCTCTGGCAGTCCCATGGCAGCGCTGGATGCTGTGGTCTCACACCCCCTCTGCTGGGGTAATGTCCCAGGCAACCCCATGGGTTCCCCTCCCAGGAACATCCTCCTGGAGGTGGCCCTGTGCTCCCCCCAGGTCCTCAGGGACAGCCCCGTGTCCCCAGCAGGAGTAGGAGCCCGAGGTGGCTGCTCTGGGCTGTCCCTCCTCCCCCACATTGAGCTGGCCCCCTGCGCTCCCCCTTCATCCCATTTCCTCTGCAGGTAGGGCAGGACAGGTGAAACAAAATACTAACAGAAATTCTGGATATTCAGAATAACAAACCATAGTTTTACAAATTCTCTTAGGAGAGCCTGAGTCCTCAGCAACGATTTTCTTCAGGCATCTCCACATCCTGCTCTTCAGGGCCCCCCTCCCTGGCAGGCACCGGTTGTCCCCCCTGCCATCCACATCCCACCTCTTTTGTTTAATTCTGAAATCAACTTCTCCCAGCCATTCAGCCTTCTCTCCCCTGAAAGAATCCATGAGGAAACCAAGAAAAAATCCTTTCAGAAGAATCACAGTGTCACCCAAAGTTCCCTTCTGTTTCATTTTACTTAGAAAGAACACTCAAAATAAATACAATTTGACTATCCCAAATACTTTCAAAATAACAGTAAATTGAAGAAATTCACTGAATTTATTACTGAAGCAATAAAACAAGGCAGCTTTGCAGCAAACAGAAATATTAATATTGTCCCAAAATATTGTCCCAAAATTCAGTTCCAGATAGGAATTTTCCTATTCTATTGTCTTCTTTTTCACTTTTTGCAGCTTCTTCTTTGAATCAGGTGAACACAACCATTAAATAAAATTCAAAAGCATTTCTCAAGCCTTTAAAATATTTCTGGACAATCTAATATTTTATTTACTAAACAGCATGGCATTAGTTACAAATGCTACATCTCTGCATATAATTGTTACAAGCCAGTAGCCAGCACTCTTAAAATTTACAATTGAGTCATTTTAAGCTACATTCTGATTTGCCTGGTTTGAGTCTTAAGAAATGTCACTGAATTGAAGTACAATTGTGAATAAACCAACACTGGGTAATTCAGTTTCTTTATTTATGAGACAAACATTCTTTCATTTGTATGATGTTTGACTAATAAGATGTACTGATAAGTGATGCAAACTGCACACTTTGAAAAACCACTTCTAACCATGGCATGTATTTCTGTTTGTAGGGATAATTATTTAACAAGGGATGTAACTGAGTGTGTTTGCTGACTGCAACTCTGATCTGCTTATGTCTGATCTTTACAGAAAGTCAAACTTAAAAATTCTAAATATTTGTGTACGTGAACATTTTAAAAGTTTACTTATAAGTGCTTCTTCTTACCTTTTTTAGCTTCTGCACCAGTTTTCCATAGGATACCAAAATCACTAATAAAGGCACTATAAAACAGGTGGTGAAGAACACAATAATGTAGGTATGGTCAGCATAAGCTCCTGAGTACCTGTATAAAATACAAAATACATTGTGTACATATTACTAATATGTGGTGTTACTATTTTCTTGAAGTAGTAATTTTGCTCTTCAAAGCTGTCTTAAATATTTTTGTCAACTGCTTTTATTCCAAGTGCCCCTTTACAACTCTAGCTGCATCACCAGATGGAGCCCTGGGCCATTTCCCTGCCCCAAGCTAGGACAGGATCCTGTGGCCACAGGTCACTCCCACAGAACTGTGGTGCCCCTCAGGTGGGAAGGGACATGTAGTCCAACCTCCCGCTCCAAGTGGAGCCAGCTATGGGGTCAGACCAGCTTGCTCAGGGCTTTGTCCAGTCTTCTGGAAAAATCTGTCTCTTTGTCCACTTTGACTCCTGACAAAAAGCACAAGGTGTAGGGTGGTTATTTCCATTAGAGCTGGAAGCTCCTCCCTTTAGAAATTTTTGTTTTAAAAGCCGTTCATGGAAAATTTTTCTTGTTTTTATTACAACTTTCTTTGCATCCATTTTTTGCAGAGACGTTCAAACCTTTCCTTTAAATTCCTGCCCCTGAGGCCTCCTCAGCTGCAAGTTTCATTTCTTTACCATACCGTGCGAGAGTGGCCTTACCAGTTAAGCTCACAAGTGGTTCCAATCTTACTGGTGGTGTAACTGCTCCAGCCCATGGTTGGTGGAATGGTCCAAATGAAGGAAAAGGCCCAGACACAGACAATCCCTAGGCCTGCATGTCTCCCCTCCAGGCGCAGGTTTCCCAAGGGGCGGCAGATCACGATGTACCGTTCAAAGGCCAACAGAGCGAGAGACCAGAGAGCAACAATGCCTGCAACGAGAAAACAGCACCAAAAGTTGAGCAGATTCACTGAAGTGCCAACATCACAGTATCACAGAACTGCTTGGGTAGAAAGGCATCTCTGGGGGTCACCATCCCCATGGTCCACATGCTGGGTGGTGCAGGACCAAGTCCAGCTGAGTTCTGAATATCTCCAGAGATGGAGATTCCACAACCACTCTGGGCAGCTGGTTTCAGTGTCTGACCCCCCACCACATAAGACACCTTTTCTGTTGACCCAAGTTGTGAAAGGATGTGCAACTTCTGTGCTTTATTCTAATGTTAATTAAGAGCATAAGAATTTCATATTTGTGTAGTTTGTCATTCTACAGTATAATGGTTACAAAACCAAGCAGCTAATTGGGCCAGTTAAGTAACTATGACTTTCATTTTTCATTTGGTTCTACTCTGAAAAGCTGAAAATTTTGCGTACCATCCAAATTAATCAATTAAGATATATCTTCAAAAGGTTATTATTTCAGGCTGTCATAAAACTCAAACCTACAGAGAGCTGCCCACAACATCAAATTATCAGTTTATTAGGCACATATCACCTATTTGGCCACCAAAACCTTGAAATAGCCTCATCTTTCTCCATGGGACATGGCTTACGTGCCACAACTGATTTGGTAACGTCCCTCACTGACATTCCCTCTGTGTAGCTCCAACAGGTGAAGAACAGCTGTGGGGCTCCTTTTCAGGCTGAGGATCAACACTGAGTGGGATTTAGGGCAGTGAGGAGCATTACTGGTTGTCTTTATGCAGCTTCAGAAAGCTGCCCCTTCAGAAAGGGGCAGAAGGCAGGAACGAGTGTCTGTCTCAAGTAGATGTCCCACTTTAAACTTATTTCCCATTTATTCTGCAGAGCTATAGTTACACAGGGAACTACATGGTGATGATTTTTCCTTTTAGAGTACTTCTAATACTTTTTTTGTAGTTAGTGAACAAAGGAGTGAAAAATAAATCACAAAAAGCTGTAGGTGTGCAGAGTGGCTCTTACAGGTGTGTCTCTGCTCCTCAGAACTGCTGCAGAGTAGGGAATATAAGAGGTTTCTCTGCCCTGAGATTTTCCACAATTTATGGGCAGCCACTCACTCTTTTTCTCTCTCTCTTATTCACCCATATATGCACACACCTAAATACAATTATTGAAAATAGTTATGCATAGGGATTTTTTTCCTGAAAGTGTTTTATTATAAACCCCATGACACTGTTATTCTATTGGCAAGCTTTTCTGCATTATATGAAACACATTCAATGACCAGCATACATGGGACAGGCCATGTATATGATAGAGAGAGAGAGAGAGATGTTTTTCACTTGCACGTGTTCCAGTACAGAATATCTGGGGAAAGCACCAGTGAATTCAAAGGCATGCAAAGGCAGTGACCTGGGGAAATGCAGTAAAATACATCGAAGGAAGTTGGAGGAAAAGAACATACAACTACAAACACAATCAAGCTTACCAAAAAATGTGACAGCAAATCCTTCCAGTACACAAGCCCAGTATCCCATATAAAAATAACCTTTTAGATTCGTTAGAAAGCTGATGGTGCCACCAGTCAGTGAGACCAGGAAATCAGCCACAGATAAATTGACTACAACATAATTGACAGGTTGCCTCAATTGCTTGAACTTAAAAGTTACCAGGATTACAGCCAGGTTCTCAGCAAGCGACAGGGAGGTCACCACCAACATTACTGCTGCCAGAAGCCTGAAATGCCAGGGCTGGATGGAGTCCAGGGGACGACGGAAGGGATCCCAGCTGGCAGGACCAAAGGAACTGGGCAAGAGCGACTCATTTTCAAATGCTCTAAATGCATCCATTTTTTCTCTCAGTAGCAAAAATAATATTATATTATAATGTATTATATGTAAATAATATTCAGGATTAAAAGGAGAAGTTTGTTGTGTCCAACAGAAGTGTGAGCAAACTCTCCCTGCTTCTGCTTTCCAGCAATAGTCCAGGAAAAAAAGTTTTGGTTGGAAGAAAGTTTAGTGCTGCCGAGTGAAGTGGGAACTGGGATTAGCAAGAATATTTCTTAGAGCAACTTCTGCTCCTCTTTGCCCATCATCTCCTCTCCTGCCTCCTCCCACTGCGGCTGTGCCTTTATCCGTGGTAGAACCCAGCTGTGGAAGCTGCAGGTTTCCTCCTCCTGCAGGACCAGGAGTGCTGAAACACCCTCAGCTCAGCTCTGCTCCGCTCCGCGGAGGAAATGCAATGCTTGCTTGGCAGCCTCTCGCACCTTCAGCACCGTAAAAATGCTGCTTTTTTTGGTCAGTCCGAGGGTGGAGCGATCTCCCCACACCCAGGGACAGTGGGAGGCAAGGGGGAGGCTCCTGCCTGAATGGTTTTCTTGAGACAGGGCAGCCCTGGAGAGATGAATGCTGCAAACCACAGTACAAAACCCTGCCCGCAGCTCAGGCTGGCTTAGAGCTCCCAACTGAGTTTTCTCTGTTATTCTGTGGAATTTCAGCTTCTATCAAGACCTTACTGACGTCTTTCCTGGTGAAGGCATAAGGATTATAATTGTAGTTTTGGTACTAAAATCTCAAAGAAGCACAGCAACATTTTAAAGATAGAGTTGGTAACTATGTTAAAAGAAATACAGCTTGACAACTGACACCAGGAAAATTAAGTCATATATTTCTGATAAAAATGACTGGATATATCTGAACTCCAACATAATCACCAGCAGTCAGGGTTACTTGTGTCCAGTTCCCAAGATAGGTAGCACAGTCTCTGCACTCTCATGAGGCATAACACTGTGACAGATATTCCAGTACTCCTGTACAGCACTGCCAGTAATTATTCCAAAAATATAGCAATCAAAATATAGCAATCATTCAGCTGTGTTGTGAGATAATTCTTGGGGACAGTAATTGTTAATCAGATCCTCAGAATTTTAACCAGAATCAATAATATAAAAGCAATCCAGTTCCTGTCTTGGAGAGTTCACACTTTGGACACAAACCATGTACAATATATGAATAAACGAACAGTGAGAGTAACAATGAGTAACATCTACCTGTACATACAGTCCCCTGACTTCAGATTTGCTTTGGCTTGTACATAAAACACTTGGTTAACACAGTCTAAAATCTTTCAGCATACAGGAAAGGAATCTTAAGGGTTTCTGGACACTGGCAGAAAGGGTTATGCATCTGAAAATTTTGAAGTAAAAAAACCAAAAACCTCCTATTTACCATAACCAAAACAGCAAAGATATTTTTTAATGGTTGGTAACTGAAAAGGAAAGAGATGATGCTTAAGCACATCAAATCCAGCAACAAAATTACTCACAAAATTATACTTATTCATCAGGAATATTAAAAAGTTCAAGTGTCATAAATAAAAGAAGGATCAACACACAGCAATAATAAAATGCCTCCAGACAGTCCTTGCATGACATGATTCAGCTTTGTTCCTCTCCCTGCATGCTACAGTGGAAAATCCAAACCACTACTTGAAAATCAACTTTGAATATTACCTTGTTAGAAATGATACACTATTTTAAATTCTTGTGGGTGTTAGAATGAAATCAGGACTCTGAATTTAGCATACAATAGGGAAGGTAGTATCTGGACTTCTCTAAGGTATAAATCTATTGATTGTACATTGAAACCCCTTTAGACAATGGATAACTATTGTTACCAGCTAGTTTCTTGTTGTTTTAAGCTCTCAGATTGTTCAGATTGTTTGTATGAGTTATGATTCTGGTTACAGTTTAAATGCATTCTCTTTTATTTATCTTGTGCTTCCTCTTTGTTTAGAATCCTTTAAACATATTCCTATACTGTCTTGATAGTCCATTTTGCTTGTTTTTCTTCCTCTGCAGGTCAGCTTTGCCAGTGACAACTCCTCTCAGGCTATGGTTAAACTGCTGCTGGATGGTCAGTGAGGTTAAGGGGATGTGTAACTCACAGCATTTGTATGATATGCCCACAGTAATTTCAACTGTGTGACAAAATCAGGATGACAAGAACTGAGATCAAATCTGGTGCCTGAAATTCTATGTGGCAGAAATGAGGCTTTCCAATTCTGAGTTGTGCTTCTTTTTTTTTTTTTAATTCAGATACTGAAAAACCCAGCAACAAATGAAGACTATGAATTACTATGGAATTAAGTGTATTTATACCTATCTTTCAGTATCCTATATTTGATAATGACATTCCAATCGTTTATCACCAAAAGGGATGTAAGAACCTATTTTACTACATATATACTACTATATATGTTTTAAAAACATATATTAAGGCCATGTTTTGTTCTGCTTTCATAAGGGAGAAGCTGAAGAGAATGCACAAGCATTTAGTTTAAAATAGAAAATAAGCAGAAATTATGGTGGTTTATGCCTAGAGACTATTACAGATTACATTACAAATCCAAAAACTATAACTCTCAGATCATATAAACAAATATGCTTTTGCTTAGTCCAGTTAATCATTGAGACACAAAAGGGCTGAGGCTGGTAGGGAACTCAGGAGAGCTCCAGTCCAGGCCCTTGCACAGTGCAGGGGCAGCCACAGCAGGTTCTCTGGGATCATTTCCAGTCAGGTTTTGAATGGATGGCAACTTCACAACCTCCCAGGACAACCCATTTTTTGTGCTGTACATCCCTTGCTGTAAAGGTTATTCTTATTTTATTTTTTTTTAAGTTATGAGAGTCATAAACCTAGTTAATTGGGAGCTACATTTAACCTTTTTAAGCCTGGGAAGGTTCAAGGAAAGCACCTGCAGGACCTACTGACTTTGCTTGAGAATCCTGTTACAGGACTACTGGGATTAATCTCATTTACCCACTCTCAATATTTATCTCATTTACTCACTCTCCATAAAGGCCCACATTCTTCTAGAACCTGTTGAAACTTCAGTGTAGGGAATGGGTTTTCTATTCAATGAAACTTCAGTAAATTACACAAATATTCTCTTCCAGCTGCCTGACTGAGCCAAAACCTCTCAGAGCACTACAACTGAATGGGAGCAGAGGAGTCAGTTCCTACTTCCGTGCATTATAAGGATGTTGTAAAGAACCTTTAGAGAACCCATTCAGAAGTTTTGATGGGAGGATACTTTGTCTAAAGAACAGCCTGAACATCCAAGATCCAATGCAAAAAATTAACAGTAAAGTCAGCTTTTCTAGTTACTCAGGATGTATCATCAAAGCATTTTTTTCTAGGGATTCAGTTCGTGTGAGTGTCTGTACAAAAAGGACTCAGATGCTGGCACCTGGTTTTCAAAACTGATTTCATATGTTTCTTTTTTTGTTTGTTTTTCAGCTGCAGCTTTATTTTCTCACAGTTGCTGAAAACTAGCAATTGAACATTTGAAGTCGGTTCTCAGAAAACACTGAACGATTACAATGGAAAAATCTTGTCCTGGCCTTTCAAGTGACTTGGAGGAATTATTTTGCCCTCTTGCTCATTAAAAGAACGGGAGTGGAGATTTCCTTTTGCCCAAAGGTAAAAGCTGTGTACAAAAGAGGCGTTCTACACTTCAAAAGATACCAGCACAGCTGCAGGAATTCCAGTAACCAGCAATATATAACAAAGCTGGTATCTGAACAAAACATGTTCTATTAACTATGAATAAGAAACTAATGCCAATTAAAGCAAAAAAACCCAAAGGCATACTAAGCACCAGAAAAGGAAACTATTTGTTAGCAGACTGTATTTACTCAAGGCATGTTAACAATGTCTTGCAGTTTGACACCTCATCTGAGCAGGTAAGACTCTGTTTACTTTATGATAACACAGTTCTTTCCAAAGCCCAGTTAAACTCAGTTCCTTGAGGACTGCACAAAAGCAGTCCAGTAAAAGGCAATGCTTTCATACTGTTACTGATTCTGGCTGAAATTATTTTGCTGTTACTATGAATGGTTTTCTACGGGTTTTTGAGTTTTTCACCCACTTGCTTTCACATGATACTAATATGTTAACACAGCTGTAAAAGAAATCGTTTTAACAACAAGCAATAAAGTCTGCAGGTATTGAAGTGACAGTGTCACTTTAATGAGTAAAAAAACCTCTTCAGTGGTTTGTTTTCCCTTGGAATTTGTATATTCCCTAAAAGCTCAGTGTGAATTGTTATCCAGTATATTCACTGGATGGTACAACTTAGAAAAAAACCCAGTTCACATGATATTTCTTACTTAAGAGGATTTTTCTATTATGAAACCCTCAATTAGAGGAAAGAGGACCTAATCATGCAAGAAATCCTACTGTCTTGAAGATGATCATGGACATGAGAATCTTTGGTCTTAAAAACCATTATTTTAAAAAGTTTGTTATTAGACATATCAAACACATTTTCTTTGTACTGCAGTCCCTGAAGAAAATATATGGCATTTGCCCTAAACTTGGCATTAGATTGAGACCAAATCTTTGAAGAAACTAAGGTCTCAATACAATCTGCAACTTTTGATTTGTCATTGTATTTATGTTTAGTGTAACTATGATAATGGAAATACGGTAACTATGACTATGAAATTGGCATCCTCTGTGTGATTAGTTTCATCAGGGCCTAAAAGTCAGAATTCAAGTGGACTCACCCTCATCTGTAGAGTAAGTGGTTTTGAAGAGTGATTGTATGCAGAAGTGTTTCTAGATCTTTCTTTCTCTACCCCCAGCTGTGAGACGGTGCAGGATGGAGGAGGTGTTTGTCCATCGCAGCCCGAACAGCGGCTGTGCCGTGGGAGAGCCCAACGTGCAGACTGAGCCGCCGGGGCTGGGCTGGGGCAGCACACACGGGGACATTGGCACTGCCAGAGGGGCCCGACACAGGGACACTGGCATTGCCAAAGGGCCTGTCCAGCTGGGGCCATGTG